TCACGTGAGCATGTGGGGATGCTACAATGGTCCTAAGTGTGAAAAACGGTCATAAGTCACTTTTTCTAGTGCCGTTGTACCTAAGTGAAGTAAGTCCGGGACTTCCTGTATATGGTTCCTATGAGTCGGCAAAAACTCGATGGCACGTAATCAGTCTCAGGTGTACTTTGTAAGATGAGGGTACTGAATGACAAGGCTTGTGGCACTAAAGGGATGCCCTTGGCTTTTGATTGGGGTGCCAGGAGCGCCCCTCAAGAGGAAACTCAGTCCGAGTAGTGAATGAGATCAAGAGAAGTCTACACTCAAGTTAATTACTTCCCCACTTAATTAAAAGTAAATTAACTAAACACAAGTAATCACTAACATGATTACTGATTACTCCCTGGTGTATTTAATGATTATACTGTATTAGTTATTAGATTGAAAATAAATATTTTCCTGGCAACATTTGGAGAGGCTATGGGGACCATACTGAGCCTTAGAGCAGGGGCATATGCAGCCCTGAAACTGCCGGCTGTGTACCTGTGATCCTAAACTTAGTCTCACATTTCCTTAATACCAAATGAGATGATGCACCTTAAGAGCACCTGGAAAGCAACCACATCTTCTGATTCGTAACCTATTCCTTCCTTCCCGTTCTAAACGCGGAGTACTCTTCACATGCTCAGAGGCGCTTCGGTCAAGGTTGAATTAGAATTTTAAAAAGACGCCAGGTTTAGCCTTGGATGAGATTAATCCCGGAGAGGGGTAGTCTGGGGTGGATTCTGTGGGAAATGCAGAGAGGTCCAATGCAGAGAAAGGGTGCTGTGAGGGTGCTTGATGCAGCATAAGTCAAGGCGGTGTGTGGCAATTCAGGATATATTGATTGTTACTTTCTCCTTGGAGATGAAGCATGACGGTTTCACAGAGTGTCGGGAGGTTATAAAAATACTGTCATGAATGTTCGCACAGCTTTTTCGGGGGGGGGGCGGCACCTGAAAAGCATATGTATGTATGTATGTATGTATGTATATATGTATGTATGTATGTATGTATGTATGCATTTCTCTTTAGCCAGGTTCTTCGTATGTATGTATGTATGTATGTATGTATGTATGTATGTATGTATGTATTTATCTTTAGCCAGGTTCTCCATATATATATATATATATATATATATATATATATTATATATATATATATATATGTTTGCTGAGGTTTTCGCGGGTATTTGTATGTAGGTCTTTGGTTATTCGGGGTTTTCTCCCGAATAACCAAAGACCTACATATATATATTATATTATATATACATATATATATATATATATGGACTCATATATAGAAGGAGAAGGGAGACAATACAGGTTGCTAAAACGTTAGCCTGCATTTCTATCTTTAAAAACCTATCAAAAATCCTCAGGTTGTTGCTTTGTAATCTTTGCATTTCAAAGAGATTTAGTGAGAGATCTGAACGATTTAGTGGCAGTGTTACGGAGCGCTAAAGGCAACCCCCTTGAGGGGACCTAATCATGTATAGAAAAGGACCTGACATATGTTTACCTCAGTTCTGTATTTGCCAGACATGAAGTCTTCTCTGCGGCGGCGAGAAGGCAGGCAAGACGGGCGCAGACTTGATGCACTGCGGAGTCTGTTGCTTGCTTGTCGGGCAGACAAATAACGCGGAGCCACGGAGTCCTTTTGCAAAGCCTGCATGTTTGGCAGAACCAGTAAAGCTGCTTCTAGATGCTGCCTACTTCAGGCTGTAGGAGGCTCGCACGTTTGAATTCAGCCGGAATTAAAACAAAAGCAAGCCTCTGCATGTAGAAAGCCCTTGACCCACTTCACAACATACCGGTACTTACAGTATCTGGGACTTACTGACTAGAGTACAATGGGCAAGGTTCACCTATTATGCTAATACATAAACCGTGGTTTGCAAAGCAGCCATGTTGACTGCTTCAGGCTTGCAGGTCACATTGAACAATGATCGAGTCACTCGATCCCTTGATGTGTGTTATGTGACGCCAGGATCAACACCAAACTTTCCCCCCCTCAATTACTTTGGTTACTTTGGCTATTTGCAGGGAAGTTCCTGAATGGGAAATCAACTTGGCAACTTGTTACAATGCAACCCAGAAAAGTTTTAACAACAAATTCTGCACAATGTAAAAAAAAGTCCTTGAACGACAGGGCGTTGCTGTTTTGGTTAGATCAAGCTCCATGTGCGGCTATGAAGGACATAGAAAAGAATAACAGAGTTGGAAGGCACCTTGGAGGTCTTCTAGTCTAACCCCCTGCTTAGGCAGGAAACCCTATACCAGGGGTCAGCAATCCGTGGCTCTGGAGCCGTATGTGGCTCTTTCATCCCTCTGCTGCGGCTCCATTGCTGGTCGGCTCCACAATTGATAGGGCTTTCAGTTAGGACAGGCAGAGGAAAAAGGACGCCGTGCTAGGTGGAGACTCTATGGTGGGAGAGTTCCAGTCAGCAGATGAAAAAGGATGCCGCGCTAGGAAGAGACTATGATGGGGGAACCAGACTTCCGGTCAGCTCCAGAATTGAATGGGGGCTTCCAGTTAGGACCTTTGTGGCTCTGAGTGCTTAAGGTTGCTGACCCCTGCCCTATACGGTTGTTGGTATAGGTATGAAACTCTATACCATGTTGAGGGCCACCCTGTAAACCTGAATGGAAGCCTGGATTTTTATAATTTTTACAGTACTTTAAGCATGTAGGTAGAAGAGGTTAAGACTAGAGCTGCAGATTTTTTGAAAATCTGGAAGAGGTTGGACCACGCAGGAGCAGGAATCTCTTTAAAACAGCCATCTCTTTTTTTTTTTCCCCCAGGCTTACAGTTAGCCTGGGGAAAAATGGCTACTGGTTTTATGCGACTCATGAATAAGCCATGTCTTTCACCCAGAAGCTTGAAATAGATGTGGCCGCTTGAAGGAGGGGCTCATGTGCATTCAAGAACACTTATCCCAAAACATTTTAGAGGAATGTGCAGTTCTAGTGGAGAGGCTTGTGGTGACAACATACAATTTTCTTAACAACAGAAATAGTTCCTAGCTAAAAAAAAAACATTTTTGTAATATTGTTTATTCTATCCCATTCAAGTTTATAAATTGTTCGTTTTACAATAAGTTATTTCTTTATATTCACAGACAGCTCCCTTCAATTTAGAAATGTTATAATAACTTCCACTCCTGTTCAAGTTTCAATATAATTTAATACAACAATTACAATGACCATTATTTATGCTGTAGTGTGTAGTATGATCCCTATTATCTGTAGCTTGTTTAACAACGTCTGATTAAAACAACCCAAATTCTTGAGTTAAGATACTTGAGGTCAGTTCTCTGGCTCTTAAAATTTCTCCCCTATTCAGGAATTATTCATCCGCATTGTGTTCTGAATAAAGAAAAAGAAATTCAGTTAATTACAGAATAGGTAACAATCAAAACCTATGACCTGCCCTTTCCAGTATGTGGGACTCGGAGAACCATAAAAGGGAGGCCACATCAAAGCCACATGCAGCCTCTCGCCTGCTCTTTATTCCTCCCCTCCTGAGCTTAGTGCAACCTGTATGTATACTGTAAGTGTGTGAACTGCAGGGAAAATATTTTGTTTAGAGCTAAATCTTCTTGAAGCACTTCCGGGCTTTTGCCATCTCCCCAAATCCCATGTCATGTACAGAATTGGAGTCCAAAGGAAAATGTCATGAACATTCTGTGGTTTGCTGCTGATTCTCCCCTCATTGCTCATACACATACACAAGGAGAAAGAGTCGCAGTGTCTCTTGATTGCTGTGGTGTTGACAGACATTTCAGTCCAGAGTTCCGCATTCTGGAATGTCTCCTTCCTTCCCTCTTCTCCCCTCCCCCTCCACTTTTCTTTGCAGGATGGTGAAGGAATAGATGTGGAAGCATATAATGGGCTACCAGGAATATGTATCTGTGTGAGCCTCAAAAAACTTCATTCCACCCTGGCAGCACTGCTAAAGATGAGGTGCTGAAACAGATCTCAGGGAGAAGTGTAAATTGTGCCTCCTGGAATCAAACCAGCTGATAGCTGCCCTTCTTAATTCTAGATTTCTCTCTTTTTGCTGAGGATCTCATGAAGGCTAGATCCCATCCCCCACCCCCCACTTCCAGGGCAAAACTTAAAGCAGGGAACCCAAGCTTAGGGTGTTGATGGTGGAACAGATGTCACTGCACCACAAAAAGGCCGACTGAAGCACGGCAAATGCGAAAGAAGTGATGCTTCCCCATCAAAGGATAAGAGCTTCCCGCTACTAAGCTGAATGTTCGGTTACAGAGGATCATTGCAAGAAAAGCTGATGACATCCTCGTTCGCTATGGGATGAATGACTGGCCAGGGTGTGGAATCAGCAGAGCACCGAGATGTACTCTTCATTGTGTGGGTGGCAGGCACAGTAGCGCACGTCGAAGCGATCGAAAACGCAGCTCTGTAGCAGTGCAGAAACAGTCCAGTTCCCTGTTACACCATGGGTTTTAGTTTGGTAGCAATAAAGGACTGCAGAGATAGTGAGCTGCAATGCGGAAACCACTGGCTTTTTTTTTTTTTTTAACCTAGCTCAAGTCTTAATTTTTTTTTTTTTTGAAGTACCATGGAAGTTGAGGGATAATGTTATAGAACTGCACGTCCTAATCACGGTGGCTGCTTTTCAGTCTCTTTCCCCAGGCTGCTTATGAATGGTTTCCAGTTTTGCTACACAATTGCAGCAAGAAAGCAAATTGTGCAGCAAAGCAATCTCGCATGGAGCATGTTTCTCATTGAAAAGCATGCCTGTTAATGGTCAGGGCGGTGCTCTGCAGCATAAATTAGGTCTCACTGACAGATTCCTGCCAGTAATTTTTCTCTTGGCTCAGTTATAATTTCTTTCTTCTGGCCTGTTGCCAGAACATGATACCCTGCACTTATTTATTTAATTTACATCCTGCCTTTCCTTCAAGAGCTCAATCGAGGGAGCATACATAGCATTCCCTCCTCCTGTTTTCCCCTACCACCGTCTTAGGAAGTAGATAAAAGGAAAAATAAGGAAAAGATCAAGCATCTTCTTCCTCTACCTTTTATTGTGCTTAAAAGATACACAATCCATTTTGGTCAGGGCACTGTTTTGCCCATATCTCTGGAAAACTGGCTTTTTATTTTTTTGACTCTTCAGCAGGGTGGGGAAGGCTTAGGATCCATCAAGTGATCAGTCACAAAAGCCTGCATTTAAAAAAAAAAAAGACTCAGAAAGAAGAGCTCCACCATAATACATTGCAAAGATTGAAATGTGCCATAATTGGCAAGGATAAAAACAACTGAATGCTAGGCAGGAGGAATGCTAAGGGTTAAATGGTGCACCAGGACTGAACAAGTAAACTACTGCATATAGCTGTGGATCCACTTGAGACTTTTACCTTTCAGTGGAAAACAGGTTGGCTTCACAATAGCTCAGAACTGTGCGATGTATTTTGCACAACACAGAAGTGAAGACTACCCAAAAGTGTTGCAGCAAATTCTGCAGAAATTGGAAAGATTTCAGTGTCTTGTATAAAGGTCACAAGTGAATGACATGATATGCAGTAGGTGGCAAATGTAGCCCCAGGATTGTCTTTGCAGGTTAAAATCCAGAAATGTAGTTGGACTTGCACAAAGACAGGGAAGTTCCCTTACTGAAGTGCATCTGAAAGGATTGTGCAGAGAATGGGAATACGTGCCTCCTTGATTTAGCTCCTGTTCTGGCAGCTAAAAAGGAAAATGCAGATTGACATCTCTGTTGGATAAATGGTGGTAGCGGTTTCTGGAGCAGCATTTTAGAGACAGGCTGCAAATTCTAGAAGGATCGCTGTACAGTAGATTGTAAAGCTGGTAGCTGGCCAGGATATTATCTAGGGGAAAACAAGAGAAACGCAGTTGCTGTTGCAGAGATAACCGCGAACAGGGAATATCGATATATTTAGCTATGACAGCTGCTCTGACTTGCAGCTTTCTCCAGTTCAGCACCTTCCGGCAGCTTGGGAATCTAACTCCCTTCGGCCCATCTGACTGGGGATTATGGGAGTTGTGATCCTGCAAGGCTGCACGCGGATCTTGACACTAAGGTGTGTCAGTGAAGCAAAATAGGGACCGAGTCCACTTGGGAAAGGTGGCCCTTGCGCGCGAGGGTGGGCCAGACCTGGGCTTAGCAATGCAGCAAATGAACGCAAAGGGAAAGGGTGCAGAGCTTTGCGCCAAAGCGGGATCTGCACGCCGGGGCCCGCAGAAGGGAAAGCAAGAGCGTTGACGTGGGAATCCCCCATCGGTTGCTCTCGGGCTTTAGCTTGGTAGATTTTTTTTCAGGCTAGCTGGAGAGGGCTGCGGGCTTGCTCCGCGCGTGGGGAAGAATCCACGCACAGCACAAGCATCTTGCGACCAGCAGATCCCCTCCTCCAAATTTGTCGCATGGCTAAAGCAGTTATTTTCCCTCTCTCTCTCTCTCTCTCACCCCCCCCCTCCAATTCGACTAATCCTAGTGAGTCAGAAAGCTGTGGGGGCGTCTTCGCGATGCTCCCAATCCGTTACGGAAATGGGGGAGGAGGGAGAGAGAGAGAGAGAAAGGAGGGGGAAAGGAAAAAAAAGCTATTCAGGATTGGGAGGGGTTGTGAAAGGGGAGGGGGGGGGAGAAATGCTCCGTCCTAAAGGGCGACACAGCTCCGCAATGAGCGGTTTGGTGGTACCACCGGTACTGTACACTAATCCCTGCCCTAAATGGTAAAAGACGGCCGTGGTTACATGGCTGGAATTTCATTCTTTGCAAAAACAGGGCGCAGCATTTTTCGCTATGTTTTCAGGAAGTCTACATTTGGCATAGGGAGGGGGGGAAAAAATCCCGATAGCGCGGAGACAGGATGCCCAGCAGCTGATCGCCTGTGAGTGGGCTGCGAAGCTAAATGGGGTGAGGTTATTAGTATGAGAGACCACCGCCGCATACGTCGTGGAACACCCCAGGAGCGCAAATGGAAACACCTTGCCAGGAAAACATAAGAGGCTGGGCTCGATGGAAAAGGACGCTTTTTAAAATCTGGAGTGACCCCTTTCTTTTAAAATAAAAATAGGATTCAAGCCTCCCGGCAAGATTCCCGTTAAATTCTACCCGGTCCCTCGAGTTGAGCTACGGAACTACAACTCCCAACATGCCTTAAAACGCTGCGTGCTGGGCTGGTGCTGCTGGGAGTTGTAGTTGAGCAAGAGCAGTCGTGTTTCTTTTGTGGGAAGAATGGTGCAGAGTCCTCTGGCGGGAAAATGGGCAGCCCCGCTGCAGGCCCTCTCTTTTATTTGTGTTTTGGTAAATTACAGGGCTCACTTTTGGCAGTGAAAACCGTCTCTTGTTTGTCTGTAGTACCAAAGGTGCTTTTTCAAGAGGCAACTGGACTTTTTGTTTTTTTCTTTGAAGACGGTTTGGTTCTTATCCAGGAAGCTTCTTCAGCTCTGAGCAGAAGAAGCTGAGCTCAGCTGAAGAAGCTTCTTGGATGAGAAGCAAAATGTCTTCAAAGAAAAACCAGAAAGAATCTACTAGTGGAGAATCAGGTCTGGAGATGGTCCACTATTTGTTAATATTATAATTACATCTGTCTGAAATATATGTGCAGATTTCAAAGGTATTTGTTGGGAATGTGGACAGCCACTTCAGTCTCCAGGCTAGAAGCCAGGAGACTAAGTTCTAGTCCCACCCCAGGCATGAAAGCTAGCTGGGTAATCTTGCTCCCTCAGCTCAATTCACCAGCAGGGTGGGGAACTATGGGCCTTTTATGACTTGTGGACTTCAACTCCCAGAATTCCTGAGCCAGCATGGGAATCCTGGGAGTTGAAGTCCACAAGTCATAAAGTTCCCCACTTCTGCCTTATAGGGTTGTTTTTGTGAGGAAAATAAGACATAGGAGTAACGTATGTGTTAACTGTCATAAATTATTTATAAAAACAATAAAGGTGGAATATAAAACAAAAAATAAATAAATAAAGTGTTTATATGACAAAATGGCATTTTTTAAAAAAAATTTGATTTATATGCCGCCCTTCTCTGGAGACTCAGGGCGGCTTACAATGCGTTAAGCAATAGCCTTCATCCTTTTGTATATTTATACAAAGTCAGCTTATTGCCCCCACAAACTGGGTCCTCATTTAACCTACCTTAGAAAGGATGGAAGGCTGAGTCAACCTTGAGCCTGGTAAGATTCAAACCTGCAGAAATTGCAGGCAGCTGTGTTAATAACAGGGTGCATTAAACCACTGTATTACCAAGGCCTTCATGGTCCATATATAATAGACTTGCCCCTCATTTTCAGCCAGCTCTGACATCCTGGCATAGTTCTGCAGTTTCCTGCTGAAAACCATTAGGGTCCTACCATTTTTAGCTGGGAAATAATGAAATAGTCATTTATGCCATAGATTGGACTGAATGAACCTATTTTATATACCAGAAAAGAGCCAGACATATCCTTCCTTGGGAAAATTTAGGCAATCCTAGGCTGTGCTGTACAGTATGGTCTGAACCTGTGACTTGCTGCTTGCCCTGGTCTAGGGCCGCAGGGGTCTCCAACCTTGGCAACTTTAAGCCTGGCGGACTTCAACTCCCAGAATTCCCCAGCCAACAAATTCCCCAGCAAAGCTGGCTGGGGATTTCTGGGAGTTGAAGTCCGCCAGGCTTAAAGTTGCCAAGGTTGGATACCCCTGGTCTAGGGTGTTTCTCACAGCTACCAGCCTTGCGTTCGGTGGTTTGAATCTTAAGCATATTTGGTCTATTTTTGACTGCAGCAGTCTCTGCTGACATTTAGTAAATGGAGGAACAGCTTGTGAAGTTGCGCTATTGTACTACGCAATGTTTTTCAACCTTGGCATTGCTGCCAGTATTGCTGGCTGGGGAATTCTGCAAATTGAGGTCCGTATAGCTTAAAGATGCCAAGATTGAGAAACACTGGTACAATGTCTAGATTTGATAGAGCAGGAAGCAAAACCTGCCTGTTTGACTTACTCCTCAGTAAGGTCAATTCCGGTTTGTGACACTAGAGGGCACCATCTTACAAAGACTGGCATAACTGTTAGACTGGAGTTTCTAATCATTTATATCTTACATATAATAGGGGGGAAAAAAGCCATTCCCTCCCAAAAGGACATTTATATATTTATAGCCACTTGGCTATTATATTTATCTTTTATGATAAATATAAACTTAATAGCATGTTTTATGATGAGATCTCTCTGCTGTCCAATGTTGGCACAGAAAGACCACAAAAGGAGACCCTGGACACTCCACACCTCAGTACTGCCTAAAACAGCACAAAGATTGCCCATATGAGGAACAAAGTCCTTTTTTCCCATCGGTTGTGGCTGTGAAAGAGATACAGATGTTCTTGATGCTCACTGTCTGGGCAGAGAAGAAGGGCATGCTCTTAACAGGCAGAAGAGTTTCCAGGCAAGGGCCTTCTCATTCTTGAGCAGGCTGCCAAGAAGGGAGCATTGGTTCATTACATTGGCCTGGTGGCTGGGCAGAAACACAGATTTGGGACCAGGACAATTAAGAATACCCTAGGACAGTGATGGCTAACCTTTTTGCCGTTGCGTGCCAAAAGCGGGGGGAGCACAGGGAGGGGGGGGGGTCGCATGCACGCAGCCACACCCATAATTCAGTGTGCCCTCCCCCCCATATGCGCCTGTGACCCCCCCTGTGCTCCCCCCCGTTTTTGGCATGTGATGGCATGGTGGGCCAGGTAGGCCTGTTTTTTGCCCTCCCCAGGCTCCATAGGCTTTCTAGGAGCCTGGGTAGGGTGAAAATGGCCTCCCCCCCATGAGGCCCTCCAGAGGCCAGAAACGGCCCGTTTCCCGACTTCCGGTGGACCCAGAAGGCCTGAAAATCAGCTGGGGAGCTGACCTAGGGCAGCGCTTGTGTGCCCCCAGATATGGAGGTGGCACACATGCCATACGTTCGCCATCACGGCCCTAGGAAGCAGCATGAAAAGTCACAGTTAGATGCCCGTCAAGGCAGATCCAGGGAAATGTAGTGTCCAAAATGGCTCACTTCCCACTGTTGGCTGTTACAGCCAAGGTTTCCTTTTTACTGCAGAGTAGCAGCTGTTCTTTGTGTGTGACTGGTTATGTTCAGTTGGCCCATGTACCCCCTGGAGTTCACAATGGTTTTGATTCCATTATTTATTTTTTCTTTGCAGGAGCGACATCTTAAGAATCTCTTTTCCCTTGCAGTATGAAATGCCTCCGTCAGAAGCTCTTACCCTTCATTCTGCTGCAGTTGGCAGGGTATGCCTGCATCTCATCTAAGTTCCAGGATTGTTGTTGTTAGTTGCGAAGTCATGTCTGACCCATTGCAACCCCATGGACAATGTTCCTACAGGCCTTCCTGTGCTCTACCATCCTCTGGAGTCCATTTAAGCTCACGCCTACTGCTTCAGTGACTCCATCCAGCCACCTCATTCTCTGTCATCCCATTCTTCTTTTGCCCTCAGTTTTTCCCAGCATTAGGCTCTTCTCCAGCGAGTCCTTCCTTCTCATTAGGTGGCCAAAGTATTTGAGTTGTACTATGCAATGTTTTTCAACCTTGGCATTGCTGTCAGTATTGCTGGCTGGGGAATTCTGCAAATTGAGGTCCATATGTCTTAAAGATGCCAAGATTGAGAAACACTGGTACGATGTTTAGACTTGTTTAGAGCAGGAAGCAAAGTCCTAACCTGCCTGTTTGACTTGCTCCTCAGTAAGTCAATTCAAGGATACTGCTAGTTATACATGCACCACTGATTGTAAAACGCTGGTTCAGAGGACATTGGGCAAAAAAAATATTAGAAGACGTTTTCTTATAGTGGTCTTTCTGTTTTGCCAGTTTGTAAAATATAAGAGAAGGAGTGTTTGTGTTGCTGGAAACAAGTTTAGGGACTTTTTTTTTTCAAGTGAAGAGAACCAGCCACTGACCTTCACTTCTCCCCCCCACCCTCTAAATTCCTTATGGAATTTGGTTACTCCTAAGTAAGGTAGGAAAAAAGCTTCTTTCACAAGGAGTAATGATTTTCATGAATGCTGGCACCTAGTTTGACCTGGCATCAGGACAAACAGCAGGGAATGGAATGCCCCTTGGTGTTTTTCCTTGCTTGTGAAACTTGCTGTTTTCAACGGGGCTGTTTTCAAGCCAGAACACTGGATTAAATGACAAGGCTGTCCTTAGGGAAGGGAAAGTTTTCCCCATGTTTTAAGATGATTTTAATGCTACCCTAAGAAGGGGCAGTAAACAGGAGGGGGGAATCTAAAGACAATAATTAGGGAGTTACAATTTTTCATTTTAATTAGAAAATCCCTTTCCAAATGATAAAACCAGATGTTTAAATGTAAAACAAGTTTGCTTGAGAAAACAGGAAAGCAGGAAAAATAAGGGAAGGCAACAGTCCTGAGAGAGACTGGCTTTAAGTTACCTTCTCCACCCAGCTGACGGTTGTGCTCAGAAAAATAGAAGAGCTAGGAAGGGGGTTCCTAGAAATATAGAAGCAGAAATCACCTCTTCTACTTTTCTCTGAAGATGTACTAAACCTCAGTGTCTTGGGCAAAACAGGTAGTAACTAGTTTAGCTAGAGTGACTATATTGTTTTTTAGGGCTGGGCATACTTTGAAAATGACTTGGAAGAAGAGCTTCTGACCATCAGTGCCATTTTGATGCCTCTCCTCTATCCATTATGGTAGCCTGCCCTTCTCAGGCTATTGTTCTTTTAAGAGTCACATGGATATCTGGAAGCAATGGTGCCTGCCTGCCTCCCTCCCTCTCTCCCTCCCTCTCTTCCTCCCTCCCTCCCACACTGGAAGCCTTAAAAAAGTCAGGCTATTTTGGTGAGCAGTGGAGAGGTGCTGTACCTGTGTGTGATCCAAGTTCCAAAAGAATTCATATGGGAGGATCATCATATATTGCACCCATTTTTTTCTTCAAAGTCTTAATTCTGGTGCATTTCACATGCCGAATAAACTGAAATCTTTATCGGAGCAACCTTTCTGCCTCTTTCGGCTGGATCTCATGTGTTACATCATTCCTACATGTTGATTCATAACAAATCACGGCATAAAACTACATGCCATTAATTTGTGTCATTGTATAATTATTGGCATTATTTAGCAGTGATAATACAGTGGCATGAATGCATTTTCCATTAATTAACTAATTAATGGATAATGAAGTATTAAGAATTCTCCAGCTGGCAGTATGAGAATATCTGAGGAACATCAGTTTGACTGATGGCACTCTGTCCTAAATATCTTTTAGAAGGGAACTGTTTGAAAGGATTTGGCAGTGATTTTTTAAATTAGTATCCTTGCAGCTTCTGACAGTGAGTTTCAGATGTTAGTGAGAGTTCTTCGTAGAGAGAATTATCTGAGGGAGGAAGATCAGGTTGGCCTCCTGCTTAGATGTTAATTAGCTTTTTTTTTCTTCCATCTGTTTTTCTCTGTTTTAGAGCAGTAAGCTTAGATTTATAGAAAATTAAATGAAAGCCAGCCACTTAGGGGACACTGTTGTTTTGCCCAGTCAAGCAAAATGCTCAGTCTCTCCGATCATGAGTTTAGTTAGGAATGTTGTAGCTAAACTTAACCTACTTAGTGATTTTACAGTTGAACCATAAAAGTACTGGCCAGTCCTAAAAACTTACGTTAGAAATGTCTGTTGGAAGAGTTTTGACGTATTTAGGCCTCTCAGCATGGGGCTAACCTACCAGATGCAGTGGGGGAGGGCAGTTGTCACAAGGAGAAGAAAGTCCCTTGTGAACATGCATTTTCTTCCTGGAATTGCTTTCTGGATTGGAGGGAGGTCTTGCTTGTCTAATTTGGCTTTTGTAGTTAAACTGGATGTAATTCGGAGTGTGTAGAGACCACACACACAAAGGTTGAGGATGTATGTGGGTAACTTTATTGTCCTACATAGTGACATTATATAGTTTGTTACTTTCAAGTTACAGTGTACTTGGCAGCATCTCATTGGCTACAGAATCTTCCAGGTAACTAGAGTCTTTGGTTAACCATTACTGCTTTGCTTAAGCACTTATAATGTTAGACTTTAATTAAAATCTAGCACACATCCCACTTTCTCTCCTCCTGTTCCTCTTGTTTACAGAATTAGGATCTTATCTTCTAATGTAATTTCCTGGCGCTTACGTGCAAGTAACCTTCCTTATCTGAGGTTTGCCATCCAAGATAGGAAAATCCCTGCACATATGCAGATTGTGGATTCCTACAGGAGTGGAGGGGATGATAATATTTATTATTAGTTACAAAACTCACTGCATGGCTTGGTGAGCTGTTCCATGAAAGTGAGGTACAGTACTTGCCTTTTGTTTTTTGTTTTGTTTTTTTATTAAATTTATATACCGCCCTACTCCCGAAGGACTCAGGGCGGTGAACAGGCACAAAATAAAATACATAGATACAAAAGTTAGAAACATAATTAAAACCAAATTAAATAATTTAGCCCGAGACAATTAAAAATCCCAATAATTTAAAACAGATTAAAATTTTGATTTAAAAGGATTATAATTATAATGCAGCCTTTGATAGCTGCATTAAGTAAAACTTAATTAATAAATAGTGCATTAATCACAATTCATTGCAACAATTGTCCCATGGAGTTTCCATTGAATAGTGGGCTCCTGTGAAGTCCGGTGAGGTTTGTTTGGGAAGAAACCCTTAATTTAGTTGTCCAGCTAATATTAATGCAAACGTTGGCAGCCTTGACATAGTTTCTGAATCTCGGTGAAAGTCTCTATTTTAGTCCTTGGCAGGAGTGAATTATTTTTTTTCTTAGCAACTTGATGGACAGGAAGGAAAGGAAGGAAAAAAAGAATATCATAAAAGGGGACATAGAAGGTCAGCAAGAAGCTTCTGAGAGATTTCTGTTCTGATTTGTGTGTGTGTGTAATTCTCCAATCCTGTGTTATGCATGGCTTTTGTCTCTCCAGATAGAAGTGCTGTCTGGAGAAAAAACAATGACTTCTCCCTTAGAAACAAACAAGTTATCATGGCACATTTATTACATCCAACCATATTTATATTCTAAAAGATTTTCCATTTTTAAAAAAAAGGTTTGGAAAAACTCAGATGAGGCCACATCACTTATGAGTCCTTGGATGGGAACCAAATTGATGGATTGGCAGACATTTTGAATATAAGCGGGGATGTTTACTTGTATTTAGAGATGATGCTGGCTAATGGTGGAACATTCCTGAGCAAAAGATACCAGAAGAAAATCTGGTGAAACGTAGTTCAAAGCTGCCCTCTTCTTAGGTTTTTTGCGTTCCACCAGATTTACCAAGGAAATAGAAAATGGTGGTTTAAAAGAGGTTAAAATGTGGCATCAGTTCAAACTGATACTTCTTGGTTTATCAGGCTCAGCTTAGATTTATCCCCTTTGTGGTATAGATCTTGCCTTCATGTGCTATTAGGAGTAAGTATGTATATTGACTCCGTCTGGATTTATACCTTGAAGAACAATCTGACTTGGGGGTAAATTAAACATTATGATGTCTTTTCCTTTTTCCAGGGCAAAATATTTCAAGGGGAAGAAACTTCATGGAGAATTGGACATCAAGATTGAACAGGTAAGTCTGGAAACAAGCATTAGGGACTGACTTCAGGAATCCTTGTAAGAGTTTCAACCATATAGCTTTCCAGGAATTGTTGGGCTGCAATTTCCAATTTCCAACTAGGGCTGGCGGTAACTGGAGTTAAGTAACACCAGTACCATACTGTTCTAAGAATATGCAGTTCTGTACTTGCTTGTTGTGCATTAGCCCCTTTTATGGGATGCGTAATTTGTCTGACCTGAGCTTCAAAAGTAGCTTAAAGCCAACTTGCAGTTGTCCTCATATTATATTGACCTTGAAACAGTAATGGAAGATGCAAAGAAATGCCATTCAATCAAATGCCAAATGAGCTACCTACCTTTAGCCATTGCTGACCTCAGAGGAACAAAAATATTTTTACTCCTGTTCTGCACATAAGGAGAAACAAATAAATAACTAGTGTCTGTGCCCACAGTCTTAGTTTACGTTATGTGCATCTGTCTGGTATTATGCAAACAAATTAGAATAGTATTATGACAGGGTGCTGCAAAACCTCCAAGCTACCTTTCACTTTAAAAGACCAGTGAAATAATAGCATGCAAGTGAAGCCCTAGAACTGTCAAAAGGGAGAGAATGGAGTCGCTTTCAATGTGAGAAGAAACTCCCTCTGCCTGCAAGTAGGTTGCAAATATTAGTTTTACTCTGGCTTCAGATATATTAAACAAGATTCCTTACCCACAGAGGTAATGTTGTGGGACTACATAGAAGCATGGTTCTGTTGCAAAAGTTTTTTGTGGAGGGGAACAAACATTGCTTGATGCTGAAATTCACATTGCCTTGTGAGGAATTTAGGGAGTGTTTTAGATGCACCTTTGGTTAAGGGTAAGTCTACATGGAATGTTTGCTTAGGTTTCAATGTTGTCTCATTTGAATGGCAGTTTATTGAACTTAAAATGTGGTCTACAGACCTTTCAGTTTGAATTGAGAATACAGCATAAAATACATTCTGCTGGGGAAGGTTAGACATGATGAGCAAGATATATTTCAAGGAAACTACCTCACCATTAGTTTATATTTTTCTGCTGAGAATCCATTGGATAAAGACCAAGGAGGAGAGGTGTTAAATGCCACCTGCATGTAGTTTCTATATGTCTGCCCTTAACATGAAATGGAGAATGAATTCAAAGTAAGTAATCCTGATGGGAATCACATCCTGTTTTTCTACTCTAGGGTAGTTCCAAAATTAGTTTTTTCCAACCCTTACAGTAATGTCCTATTGTACATGATTTATGGGGTTGGTGAACTTCTGTCTACCTCTAGAGATTATTTTCAGTCTAGACTTTTGGATGATCTTCATGTGATCATGACTCAAAACTGGATTGTAGTAGTTAAAATGTTGGAATAGAACTAGGGAGGCCTAGGTTCATCTTTAACCATGGGTCAGTCATTGTCTCTCAGCCCAATCTATTGCACAGATTGATATTTTGAGGAGAAACAAGAAGAAAGGATGCAATGTATATTAAGTTGAGATCTCGGCTTTGGAATGAAGTATATATCTAACAAATAAGTAGTTTAGTCTTACATGTGCAGCCAGACCATTTTTGACCATTTAATAAAATTCATGATTAAGGCAAGCCATACAAACGGTTCAAGTGACAATTAAAATTTTATCAGGAAGCACTTGGTAAATCTCTGAATTTAGAAAAGATTTCTGGAAGTTGACATGAATTCATTTAGTTGAGGTCATTCTTTGGTTTTATGGACACTCTGGGAGCTGACAATGGTTATTGAGAAACACCTTAAAATTCTTCATCTTCTATAGATAGCTGAGGAAATCCATATCATGAAAATAGGGAAATAGTAAACTTACGGGGTTAAAAATTTATTTATTTATTTATTTAATCTAATTTTTATACCGCCCTTCTCCCGAAGGACTCAGGGCAGTGCACAGCCAAAGATAAAACAAACACATATATAAAATTTAAAAGCAATTTAGAAACATATTAAATAATTTGGCCCCGACATCATTAAAAAACAAAAGCAACCCATTAAAATTAATGTTTAGGCCAGCCCAGCTTGTTGGAACAATAACGTCTTGAGGGCACGGCAAAAGGTGTGTAGGTCAGGGATCATCTGTATCTCCGGGGACAATTCATTCCAGAGTGTGGGTGCCCCTATAGAGAAGGCTCTCCCCCTGGGGGTCGCCAGTCGACATTGTTTGACCGACGGTACCCTGAGGAGCCCCTCTCTGTGGGAGCGTACTGGCCAGTGGGAGGCTATTGGTAGCAGAAGGCGATCTCGTAAATACCCAGGTCCTAAGCCATGGAGCGCTCTAAAGATGGTAACCAATATCTTGAATCGCACCCGGAAAACCACTGGGAGCCAGTGCAGCTCGTGCAGGAGAGGTGTTACATGGGAGCACCGTGTCGCTCCCATAATCACCTGCGCGGCTGCATTCTGGACCAGTTGGAGCCTCCGGGTGCTCTTCAAGGGGAGCCTCATGTAGAGAGCATTACAGTAGTCCAGATGGGAAGTGACGAGGGCATGAGTGACTGTGCGCAAGGAGTCCTGATCCAGAAAGGGACGCAGCTTGTAAATCAGGTGAACCTGATAAAAAGCCCCCCTGGCCACAGCCGTCACATGATCTTCTAGAGACAGCTGCGCATCCAGGAGGACACCCAAGTTGGGAGCCCTCTCTGAGGGGGCCAAGATCTCACCCCCAATAGTCAGCGATGGAACCAGCTGGCTATAACGGGACACCAGAAACCACAGCCATTCGGTCTTGGAGGGGTTGAGTCTGAGCCTGTTTCTCCCTATCCAAATCTGCACGGCCTCCAGGCACCGGGACATCACGTCAAGGGCATCATTGGGGTGGTCCGGGGTAGAGATGTACAGCTGAGTGTCATCAGCGTACTGATGGAACTTCACCCCAAAGCCACGGATGATCTCACGCAGCGGCTTCACATGTTGAACAGGAGGGGCAAGAGGACCGACCCTTGCAGCACCCCACAAACAAGGCGCCTCGAGGTCGACCTCTGCCCCCCTGCCAATACAGACTGCATACGGTCAGAGAGGAAGGAGGAGTACCACTGCAACATGGTGCCCCCCCACTCCTAATCCCTCCAACCGGTGCAGCATGATACCATGGTCAACGGTATCAAAAGCCGCTGAGAGGTCTAATAGGACCAGGACAGAGGAACAACCCCTGTCCTGAGCCCTCCAGAGATCATCAACCAATGCGACCAATGCCGTTTCTGTGCTGTACCCAGGCCTGAAGCCTGACTGGTACGGATCTAGATAGACAGCTTCATCCAGGTACTGGGGAAGTTGTCGCGCCACCACGCTCTCAACAACCTTCACCACAAAGCGAAGGTTGGAGACTGGATGATAGTTCACTAATACAGCTGGGTCCAGGGAAGGCTTCTTGAGGAGGGGCCTCACCACTGCCTCTTTCAAGGCGGAGGGGAAGAAACCCTCACTCAGAGAAGCGTTAATAATCTCCTGGAGCCAGCCTTGTGTGATCGCCCGGGAGGCCAGCACCAACCAGGAGGGACATGGATCCAATAAACATGTGGCAGCGCTAAGCCTACCCAGAATCCTGTCCACATCCTCGGGAGTCACAGGGTCAAGCTCCTCCCAGATAACACTCTCAAGACCCACCTCCATCACCCCATCTGAACCTACCCAGTTGGAGTCCAAGCCTTCCCGAATCTGAGCAATTTTGCCATGCAGATATTGCACAAAATCCTCAGCCCTATTCTGCAAGGGGTCTTCCCACGCTCCCAAATGAAGTAGGGAGCGGGTCACCCTAAACAGGGCGGCTGGGCGGTTATCTGCAGATGCAACAAGAACAGTAAAATAATTAGATTTTGCCGCTCTCATCGCCACTAGGTAGATCTTAATATGAGACCTCACCAGTGTTCGATCAGATTCGGAACGGCTGGCCCTCCAACCGTTCTCCAGGCATGTTTTCCAGCGCTTCATCTCCCTCAGCTCCTCAGAGAACCAGGGAGCCAATTGGGATCGGCACCGGGTCAGAGGCCGCAAAGGCACGACGCGGTCCAAAGCTCCAGCGGCCGCCCTATCCCAGGCAGCAAATTGAATGATGACTACCTTCTTATGAATGTGATTACAATTGTTAGCAGTCAGGTCACTATCTTTGTCATGCTGTCTTTTAAACCTTGAAAAAAATAGTTTTCAGTTATAGCACTGGTTCCAACTTAATTTAATTATCTCACATGATTTTTCTTTGTTTTTTTCATTTTATTATCACTAATTTCATTCTTTTTTTTTATTCCATGTCATGTTGTTACAAGAACTCGTTTCATATCCCCATTAATGTGTACACCAAAGTGGGCACACATATCTACTTATGATTACTCACTTTCAAATTGCTAGGTTGGCAGGAGCTGGAATGAATGATGGGAACTCATCCCATCACACAGCAGCACTCGGGTCTTGAACATAAGCTTGCTGATTGTCAACCTAGTATCCTAACCACACAAGCCACCAGACTCCGCACTTTGAACTAGTTGAGGAAGTTGTTCACTATGAGGGGCAATTTTTCTTCAAAAGAAGCTTATCTACCGTATTTTCTGGCGTATAAGACGACTGGGCGTATAAGACGACCCCTGACTTTTCCTGTTAAAATATAGGGTTTGGGTTATACTTGCCGTATAAGACTACCCCTCTTCCAAAGCACACCAAATAAAAATTAAAAAACATCAACTGGCTCACCCACAATGTAAAAGCAGCTGTGCTAGACCCAAAATGGCCCCTGAAACAAGCAGGAACCTCACACAGCCACAAAAAGCCCCAAAAAAACAACTTTCATACTTTACACACACACAACACAACACAACACAACTGGCTCACCCACAATGTAAAAGCAGCTGTGCTAGACCCAAAATGGCACCTGCAACAAGCAGGAACCTCACACAGCCACAAAAAGCCCCAAAAAACAACTTTCACACTTTACACACACAAAATTCCACATACAGCTTTGTGAGATTTTGTGTGTTTGTGTAGTTAGAAACACACTACAGAAACACATTAAATCTCAGAAAGCTGCACAAATATTATTTTATTTTATTTTATTTTTATTTTTATATGAAAACTAAATTTAAAACTTCCTAAACTTTAAATGGCTAGGTCTAAAAAAGAACAACTAAAAAAAAACCCAATTAACTATTTTTTTTAAAGCACCCAAAGAGGAAAAAAATCTTACCCAAAAAACAGGGGTCTCCAACCTTGGCAACTTTAAGACTTGTAGACTTCAACTTCCAGAATTCCTCAGCCAGCTTTGTTTTGCTGTCTGAGGAATTCTGGGAGTTGAAGTCCACAACTCCCTGCCTGCTTGATTGCAGGCAGGGAGTGGCTTGCTGATGGAATGGATTCAGGCAAGCGAAGCAAGGCAAGCGTTGCAACTAGCAGCTAAGGTAAGCAAGCTTGAGGGAGAAAACTTTTTTCCTTTTCCATGGCTCTGGCGATCCCAGCTGCGTTGCCTGATTAGCAGGCAACGCAGCTGGGATCGTCAGAGCTTGGATCGCCAGAGCCATGTAAAAGGAAAAAACTTTTTTCTTTTTACATGGCTCTGGCAATCCCAGCTGTGTTGCCTGATTAGCAGGAAATGCAGCTGGGATCGTCAGAGCTTGGATCGCCAGAGCCATTTAAGGCTCGTCAGAGCCTTTCGGGCTGGTCTGCCTGGTTACAGGAGAACAACACCCAGCGTATAAGACGACCCTTGACTTTTGAGAAGATTTTCATGTGTTAAAAAGTCGTCTGATACGCCGGAAAATACGGTAGTCTTGCTGATTTTCTGACTGAAATATCTAAAGGACCACACTATTATCTGGAATTCAAGACAGTCCAGCTTCCATTTGCATGTGTTGATAGACAACTTGCTCTGTGGGCTGGAGCAATCATGAAGGGTATCCCCATACCTTAAAAGTTGATGTGATGACAGCTCTGAGAATGTATGAATGTGCTACCAAATGGTTTTGTCTTGTTTCTACTAGGCAGAATTCTGTGACTTGAACTTGGTGGCTCATGCTAATGGCAATTTTTCTGTTGACATGGAGGTTATGCGCAACGGGATCAAAGTAGTGCGGTGAGTAGAAACATGATGCCATCCGTAGTTTATTACGATTGTTCAGAGTGTTATGTACAGGTAGTCCTTGACTTACAATAGTTCGTTTAGTGACCATTCAAAGTTACAACGGCACTGAAAAAAGTGACTTACAACCATTTTTCACAGTTAACAACCTTTGCAGCATCTCCATGATCATGTGATCAAAATTCAGACGCTTGTCAACTGACTCATATTTATGACAATTGCAGTGTCCCAGAATCATGTGATTCCCTTTTGCGACCTCCTGACAAGCAAAGTCAATGGGGAAGCCAGATTCACTTAAGAATCAGGTTACTAACTTCAGTGATCCACTTAACAACTGTTTGCAAGAAAGGTCAGGCATAGTCAGGCAAAACTCACTTAACAAATGTTTCACTTAGCAACAGAAATTTGGGGCTCAATTGTGGTCTTAAGTCGAGGACTACCTGTGTTTATGTATTGATTGTTCATTAGGCTTTAATGTATTTCAGGGGAAATATGATTTTGGCTACTGAAGAAACAATCACTCATCTGGATGCTTAAGTAGTGTGTTAAAAATTGTGCACTGAGTTTATTCAAGCCTATTATAGAACTAGAAGTTGGGGACTTACATGAAATTGTCAGCTACAAATCTTTGCTTTTTATGTGTATTTTGCCCCTGTTGACCCAAGAGGAGAATATTATTCCTCTGCCCAACATTTTTCTGATTACTGAGATTGTGCAGTAAAGTGCTGTGTTAGTATCCAGTACACTACAGTATGCAATTATCATCTCTAGAAGTATAAAATATAGTTCTAGAGTGCTACCATTGAAAGGTTATTGAAGAATCTGATGTTTCTGTGGGATTATTTGACTTCCTAAATAATCTTATATATCCCTGCAGCTATTCTTCTATCTTTGCAACTGTTTAAGCAGCATTTGAAAAATCAACCCTCACAAATTTGTGTCCTCTTGCATTCTGCTTTTCCAGAGTGCTCCCCTGCCTCTAAGCTATCATATAATATGTCAGTGGTTCTCAACCTTTTCTTCACCACGGCCCCCTTTAAATACCTTTTGTGGCCAGAGACCCCAAGACTTAACTCAAGATTTAAATCATAACATTTCTTCAAGCCTTCACGGACCCTCTGTGATGACATTGTGGCATCCGAGGGCCCCTGCAGTGTGAGATAGATGTATTTCTGCAGATGTATTGCACTTAAATTCTTGCTTTATCCAACACATCTGGAAATTATCATATTGGACAATGTTGAAGTAGTAGATTGTTCATAAATAGTAATTTTAACTTATGATGAAGGCTTGCTTTGTTCTCAAGTGGAAGTCTTTCTCAGCACTAACTGTCCAATGTCTTTTAAAAAATGAAATGTCAGAGATGCTAAAAATGGGGCTTTCTTCTGTCTTTAAACAATTGCTGTACCAATTTACTGTGTGACCCTTGGTTCTTTTACATGCTGTGGGTCTTGGTGGACAATTAGATAAGCCACTAAATGAAGGATAACTGAAGTTGCAGGGTTAATTTTGCAAAATAAACTTCAGATGTGGACTCCTTATTCAGGGCTATGGGATGGGAAGTATGAAACTTTTCACTTTTTTTCTCTCATCACATTCTTAATCTGAATTTTCTCTCTGGACTGTCTCGCCTTCCCCATCCCCCGACACATCTGGTATTATTTGCATTGGGGAGTAAGCATGTTTATACTGGCAGTTCTTTCCCCTAAGTTAGTAGACATAGATGGGTTTATAAAGTCATAAGGAAGCAGCTTCAATTTAAGGGGATTTTGTTTAACTTTTAATCTGGTGCAAGACTACAGCGGGGACAAGTCTTCCCATCTTGAACTGGATTGGTTCCCTACACCTGCACTCTTTAGTCTTGTGATTAACCTGTCACAGAAAGTTTCCAAGTAACATTTGTTTTCTTTAACGCAAGGGTTGCATTTTGAAGTGCACACACTCAGATAATGCAGTATTTTTGTACTTCTTTATTCAGACTTCTGGATGCATGGGATATCAGCAAATATGCCAAAAACGAAATCAATAGATAAATCCTTCAGACCCAATACATTTAATCCAATCAATTATTCTATAAATCTATTCAAACGTCTGGTTGAATAAAATGGTTTTAACTACTGCTTTCTAAATGTTGGTGCCAGATCAACCTCTCTGAATACCGTTGGTGCAGCACATAGATACATCAATCTTTGTTATGTCAAATCTGACATAGCCTTAAGTGGAACATGGCCCAGAGACTGCAGTGAAAGTGTTGGAAGAAGCCTCGAGCGTATATGCTCTGATAATTGCTGGGAAATTTCTACTAGAGCTTGACCACCCATGAAGATTGAATTGTGATGGCAGAATAAACAATGCACTGTCTGGAAATTAGTATAGTCTCTGAACACATAGTTATTGTTTATCCCTGAGCTTTGGAATGTGGCAGCCTTGGGTTTTAATGAGTAACCATTTCATTTTCCTCCAGCGACTGAGGAAATGAGACCAACTTGAATCAAGACTAATGGACTGCTTAAAACAAATTTGCAAATTGAATGGATACTTTAAAAAGCTGTGAATTTCCTGTGTTTTGTATCTTAATATGTTATTTTATCTAACCCTGCAGAGGTTCTATAGCTCTCTCAGTGGCAGTAGAAGACCAAAGGAAAGCGAACATGTTGAGTGAGAGGGTTTGATTTAGGTACCTAAAATGGAAACTATAGATTAAGAAGCAGGTTTTGTGGACAAATGCATTAGATCCTTTATCCTGCCTCTCCTTCCTTTTCATAGTCACACCTTTTCTTCCAGGAGCCTGAAACCGGACTTTGTCCTGATCCGCCAGCATGCCTTCAGCATGGCCCGTGGTGGAGACCATCGTGGCATTGTTATTGGCTTGCAGTATGCAGGCGTGCCCAGCGTCAACACTTTGCATTCTGTATACAACTTCTGTGACAAACCTTGGGTGGTGAGTGGCAGAAGATGATAATTGAGGGAAGAACCAGATCTGTGGCACTGTACTGTAGATTCTGTATTAGAACTGAACATAGAAATTTTAATATAGTAAATTAAGGAACGTACAAGGTGGAGGACTTGACCTCATTTCTTTATTTTGTGCACAAGAAGTATTCGGGAGGGCTTACTACATTTCACTAACTTAGTTTTAAGCTGCTTTTGGATATTGTAAAATGTTCAAATACAGTTATCATTCATCATTCCTGCAGTTAAAGAAACAGTTAAACAACACCTTTCCAACAAGAGAAGGTAGCAGTTTAAAAAAAACAGCAAGCAATGTCAACTAATTAAAATGTCTGAGTAAACAAAAGTGCTGAAATAATTGCAGTGTTGTATTAGCTACATTTTCCACAGAGAAGCTCGTTCTCTTTGTCATCACCTAATCTATCCAAGATGCCGACTCTCTTAACTCATAGGTAAACTAGCTTAGAAGAGATGATCCTAGAATTAACTGCTTCCCAAACTCTTTATGTATTTAAAAGATAGACATGAGTGGCACGGTATGTTGGACCTGGAAGGAAATGGGTAGTACTATTTTTCTTGGTTGAATGAGTTATCACTTTGGATGCTGCATTTCACATTAGCAGAACCATTTAGCTTGTCTTTTGAGGACAGCCCATGGACAGCGTATTACAAAAATGGCCAAGTCATGCATGTTTAGGCTGGCTTTGTAATATGCCAGCACCTCCCTAGGAGTCAGCTAAGTGTTACCGATGATGGGGGACATTGTGTAGGATTTCTGACATTTGCAACATGTTCTGCTAATAGAAACTTTCATGTTCAGGCTCGAGTAGAGGGAAGGAAAAGGGCAGGAATTGTAAAGGGAGGGGTTGATATAGTTAAGTTAACCTTAGAAGCTTATGGAAATAGATTTAGAAATACCTTCTTTGTTTCTTACTACACTGTCTCTCCAATAGTTTGCCCAGATGGTCCGCCTGCATCGCAAGCTTGGTCCGGAAGAATTCCCCCTCATTGACCAGACATTCTATCCCAATCATAAGGAGATGGTAAGTTGGACTGGCGTGTGGAAGGCTGAGGATCCTTCTGGTTATGTGCTGAGACTAGCACATTCTCTGGCCCCTTTAATAATTAAAAGGGCAAGTAGCCATTTCTGAGCTGGACTATTGAGGATGGACATGTTTATGCATATATCTATGCATATAGCTAGCATTAATATGGTTTTCAGATATAAAACATCATAGTCATTCCTTCTTAGCCAGTATGTCTTCATTTTCCTGTTCAAGGATGAGTCATGCATGACAAGGCTTGACTTCAGAATGAAGTGGCCATACTTCAGTCTGCACTTAGTTTGGGTTTTTAATCATCCATTCAGGATTAACATGACTACAAAAAAGGACATAGACTGCATTTGGTCTTCATGTTAGAGCTATTGTTGGAACATGGGCTTCATGTTAGAGCTTAATGTCGGAACTAAAGCCCAATGACAGTGGATACTACTCTCTAACCAAGAAGCCCACGAGATACGTACACTCATATCCACAATTTTCTGATCTGTTTTGTTATAAACTTATTATTTACCAGCAAATGCTTTCTCAGTTTCTAAGGAAAGACTTCATCTAGTGGAGGCAGGGGTGAAATATTTCTATGTTGCCAATAATGCTTGCAAGAAATAATTTTTCTCTTAAGGGTGAAAACAAATCTTGATAATTACTTTAATTAATGTAACAGATAAAAGATTAGTTTAATGAATCTAACATAATAACCAATATAATGTAAAGTAATATATTGAACAATAAATATAATTCTGGGTATACAAAGGCTCAGAATGTTAAGGTTGCACTTTGCTGGTAAACTGTTCCTAAGTATGGATCCATTTAATTTGCTTCAGTATTCAATACTTACTCCACCATCATACTGCTTGTTTGTGTTTGCAAGTAGCACACCCCTTTTTTGCCTATGGAAAACTTGGAAAATGTATTATTATTCTCATTTATAATATTTGTGTTTTCTTTTTGCATCTTAGCATCTCCTGGAGATTAATTTACACTTGTGACCTAGCAACCCCTTCTCACAGCTGCCTTCCTGCCTTCCATTCAATTCTTTCTGTTGTGAGGTATAGGTAGAGACTTGCTAGTATAATTCTAAAATACAGTGATGAAAACCAAGCTGTAGAAGGTCAGTTTACAATTTCAGAGAATGTCCTTCTGCTTGAAACTCTGCAGATCAGCCCTTGCCCCAGTGGTGAAATCCATTTTTTAATCGGTTCTGTGGGCATGGCTTGGTGGGCATGCTGTGGCTTGGTGGGCGTGGCTTGGTGGGCATGGCAGGGGAAGGATACTGCAAAGTCTCCATTCCCACCCCACTCTGGGGCCAGCCAGAGGTGGTGTTTGACATCTTTGAGCTCCAAACTGCTCAAAATTTCCGCTACTGGTTCTCCAAAACATATCAGATCCTGCTGGATTTCACCCCTGCCTTGCCCCCATGGCTTGCCTCTGTCTGTGATCACTTTTGAACTGCCAAGAAGCCACAAATTACTACAGTTATATCTTAAACAGGTTCGGAAGGGGACTAAGGTTCAAAATAGGCATCAGTGTTCTCAGAAGTAATATAATATCCGAACAAAGGAGAAGTTATTTAAAGGGTACTCCTCATAGTTATTTTCAAAGTGCAGAATAATTTTGTGTGGTCTTGGGATGCAAAGGATGATTTGGCCAAATGACATTTCCCTTTCTTATCCTCTTCCTTTCTATAGATAGCACTCTTGGCAGGAACTCAGTCATTCCTTAAAATACATACTTTTCTGCTCTTTCTTCTAAATCCTGTATGTGTGCATATTGCAATCCTGTGACCTTGCAATTATTCAGTGATGGCTTAAAAATACTTTCTCTGTGCTTAGAGATATGCTGTTGTTAATGACAGTTTCATATTTCCACATTGGATATCTGCCTGAGCTGTGTTGCTTTGAAAGATGGTTTCTTTATTCCTAATCCAGAATGTGGGCAGGGGAATAGTAAATTCAGGACACCCAGACAGGAAGAAAGAACCGGGACTAGAGTTATAGGGGAAAACTGGCAGCTCTTTGGAAGCCGTTTTGCAGGCTACTGAAAGGTTCTTTGGTTCCTTTTGTGAAAATTATCTACCTACATTCTAGGGTTTTTTTTTTCTTGGGCAAAAAATTTTGGACATAATATTCATTTGGATGAATGGGATAGATTATGGGAGAGAAATTACAAACTAACTATGTCAGCTGCTTATAAAGAAAATCTTTACAAAATGTTCTACCGATGGCATTTGCCACCAGCGAGATTGGCCAGGATGTTCTTGAATAGGTCTCTGAATTGTTGGAGGTGTGGACACAAACAAGGGACATTCTACCACATGTGGTGGACCTGTCCTAAGATTAGGAAATTTTGGGGCAAGATTAAAAAATGGCTGGATGAAATAACAGGGCAGAAGATAGAAAGAAAGCTGGAACTGTTTCTCCTGGGCATTCTGGAAGGGAAAATGCAGAAAAGTATATAGTATATCATATTACACATACTAACGGCAAGTAGAATTGTGATAGCACAAAATTGGAAAAAACCAGACACCCCTCCAGATCAAATAATAATAAAAAAATTATATGAATGTGCAGAGATGGACAGATTATCTATGGAAATGAAGGAGAGGGAGGACACCAAGTACTATTTAATATGGAATAAATGGTATTCCTGGCTGGAGAGTAAACATAACATTTAAGGGATGTTTTTGTTATGAGATTGAATTGTAAATAGAAATCAAGATAATTTATATAAAGATGTAAGTTTAAGATAGAGATATTTAGAAGTAGAATTTGTGTAACGAGGTTAAATAGGTTAGAGATACCGATGAATAACAAGAAAAGTTGTTATTAGTATTGAAATTTTGATATGTTTGTTTTTGGTTGTTTATATTTTTTGTTTTTTGTTTTTTTGTGTGTGTTTCTTTCTTGCTTTTTTTTGTGTATTATGTTTCTTTTTGTACTGTGTATTTTAATCTTTGGAAATATGATAAATATTATTTTTTAAAAAAACCATCTAAAAGTGTTCCCTTGGGTTTTCCTTAGAGCAGGGGTCCCCAAACTTGGCAGCTTTAAGACTTGTGGACTTCAACTCCCAGAATTCTCTAGCCAGCTATGCTTTAAGTTGAAGCCACAAGTCTTAAAGCTGCCAAGTTTGAAGACCTCTGCCTTAGAGGAACCACTGTGTGCTACTGTAGAGGCTATTGCTACAGTCTTACCAGAACCAGTACAGAACTTGAGCAAACTTAATTGTTGGAATTGGCATTTATTTAAAAAGAGACAATTCAGACAGAAACGGAGGGATTGTCAGGGAGAGGAGTACCACTCCAGAGTCCATAAGATGTTTACTGCCTCAGGAGGCGAGACTTGCGAAGGGACCCAGGTCCTTGGGAACTCAGGGATTGCCAGGTGCAGAAGTTAGAGCTCTCAGATCGTGGCAGGCATGCCAAGCGCTTGGCCTGAAGACTATCCCATATCCGGGACATGATCCCATCTGTCCATAGGCACTGGTTGTCAGAAGAGATGAAACATGGCATGGAAAGGCAGGGCATGACCTGTTGAAAGAATGGCAGAAGAACATAAGGACAGTGTGAGGGAGATGTTCCCTTGAATATCATATAATACTCCTTTACCGCATCTCTTAATTTCTTAGTTCTACTTTGCTGTAATCTAGGACAAGCAATCAAATATGATGGGGCCAAAAACAACCGAAAGTTGTTGCAAATTGGATATTTATGTCTTATCAAACATAAATCATTTGTTACATCTCCAGTGTTGGAGAATTTGTTCTAATTTTAATAGAATATACTGTATGCTTTGAATTGAGCAAGGACTGAAGGACAGATGACATTGGCTGTGTCTTATCTATATTCCTTTACAACCAATGCTCAGGCAAAAGACCCTTTAACCCCATCTTCCCAAGTCGCTTCACCATTATCAATCTCATAATTCATTATTTACCAGCGCAGAGTTGCTCATTCCCATTTACCCTGTGCCTCTGTGTGGGTGGACAATTGATTCTATATATGACAAGCTGCATCTTTGTAATCTTACCTTCTCCCTTTTTAAAATTGCAAATACACCCACTATTATCCTGCTTTATCCTTCTAGCTTTCCAAGAGGCTAGAAGCTTTCACTTCTTATTGGTTGTCAAGAAGGAAAAATCCTTTGGATCCAGAGTGGAAATTCAGGATATTAATCCTTTTGTAGGTTAGTTTTTTTAAAAAAATTTCTATCAAGATTTGAATGAGAGTTGTGGTGAGTTGCCTTCCTCTGGAGCAAGCACGGAAAACAAAAATTTTGGAGGAGATTGGTTTCTTATCTTCCAGCTTAGTCATGTGCATGGAAATCTATGGAATTCTATGTACCATCATCTATTCTACATGGATTGCATCTGTGGCCTGACTAGATGAATTGCTAGATAAAGCTATAAATATGGATCGCCTTAATAGCCTGATGCCCTCCAGATGTTTTGATCTCAATATGCATAACTTCCCAGCTAGTATAGCCAATGACCATTTTCAGAATTGTAACCTTAACCAAATGGAGGGCTTTAGGCAGAGAAAAGTTGGATAATGAGCTATAATTTCAGCTTTCAGGACAAGAAAGAACCCTCTGTGTATGTGTCTAATGTTTTTTTGGCTAGCCTGCAAATCTGCCTGCAAGCATTTGCTTCTGCTGTCAGATCCCCGAGACCGATTATTTCCTAGACTCAGATACTCACTGTGCAGTTGCAGCCCTTGCTGTAGTCAAGACTCAAGCCTCTTTTCTGCGCAAGAGAAAGCTGAGACCACGGCTGGATGAAGGAACAGGCTGTGATCATGACGCGATTGCCATCCATCATCCCTGTTGGCCAAGAAAGAGAGAGAGAGAGAGAGAAATCAAAACAGGGAATATAAACATTCTATCCAATGCATTAGTTGCAGATTTTACTTTTATAATCAAGCTTTGGCTTGCTGACTATCGTAAAAATATATTAATATTGTACCTCTTCACCACCATAAGTGGAGCACTATACATACTATTTTTCCCTTGCAGGGTTGAATAATGAAATTAAATGTAGCTTCCATTGTAAGGCAAATTCTTTGCCAAAATTTTTTAAACTTGGTCCCCTGAATGAATAATGCATGTGGAGTTTTGGAGTTGGTGGGTGCATTTTTATTTATTTATTTTATTTACTATATAAAGTATCTCTCCTGCTCGCTCCAGATATTTTATTAAGGCTTTATTCTTTAATATTTGCCAAAGGCAAAATTGAAGCTAAAGATTTGCTTAGATTTTAGCTAAACATTGGGAAAAAAGATGCTTTAACATCTTTAACCCTTTAGATGGGTTACTTGATAGTAGAAGTAGGAGGAGAGTCATTGCAATGGCTTAACCAAAGACCAGATAGCTATGACCTAAAAATGAGATAGTTCTAATCTGTATTGCAGATTTTTTGTTAAGCCAGAATATAGATTAAATCAAGGTTTCTTCCAAAATTTGAGACAATGTAACATCTTTTTTCAGTTAACAAAATCTGATACACACTGTGAAATCAAATCCCATACTATTCATATGTGCACATATATTTCTGTGCATTTAGTATGATAGGGTTAAAACATCTGTGATAGGTAATAAAAGTTTTGTGCTCTGTATCTTGGGCAATTAATTCTGGATTTAAATTTCTCTTTCCCACAAAACAAACAACAGACTTCTGCTTTTCTTTTCTTTTTTTCCCACCGGGAGCAGAAACATATTGTTTGAATTGTTTGTTATAAGCAGCTTTGAGGTCAGCCTTGGCAGAACCACTCACTATGGGGTAAAACTGTTCCTGGACTGTGTCATTTCAGACTGCAGGTGGGGGTTTAGTTTTGAATGCTTGGTTGAAAAAAAAATCACTGCACACAAAAAGTAGATGTTAGAGAGAAAAGCTTTGGCCTGGCCTAGTTTTTCCATGACGTGTTGGTTTTCTAAATGTAAGAGGTGATTGTTTTTCTTTTGGGAGTAACTCTCTAATACGTAGCTTTATACTTATAGTTGCAACCAAAATACATTTTCTTGAGGTGATTGCCTAGATTAGAGTGAGATTATATGACAGATATTTTAAATAAATGGTATGGATGAAAACAGTCCATAATATAAAGAATGCCAGCAAAATCAATATGATGGGCAGGACTAAGAAAAGGGCTAAATTTTACAAGGTGCTGTGGACTTCTCTGTCTTGGAGACATGTTGTGCTTCATCTTATCAGTTTAAAATTGCTAATATAATAAATTTGAGACAATATGACATCTCTTTTTCAATTAAATGAAGTCTGATATGCACTGTGAAATGGCAAATTTTTTTAGACAAAAGTCTTTTCCAGTTCTCTAGGAAATGTTGTTTTGCCATTGAATTACAGTTTCAAAAGTTTGGCAAACATTAGGTACTACTAAAACTGAAACCAACTGTGAATAGTTGGGTCTTTCAGACACAGTAGTTTTAAATTATTTCTCTCTGTGTGTGTGATTCACAATTCCCTCCTCTTCCTTTTATGCTAGGTATGACAGATTCCTTCAGTTTTTCCTCCCATTATTTATGTTCTTCATAAGAACGTTTATAGCCTTGTTTTGAGGCATTTCTCATCATGCTCACATCTGTTTTTTATTAAGCATCCAAAACAAAACTCCAAATTCTTTAACTATGGGATATTTTGCTGATTTTCAAACTAGGGCCCATGAAGGTGTATACCATGCCATAGTTCCTGGCGCAAACATAAATATAAACATATATTTTTAAAAACCAGCTTTTAGGTAGTTTAAAAATCTTGGAAGAGTATCAAATCTCACAAAAGTTTGTTGCTGTCACAATCTTGTTAGCTTCTTGCTGTTCTTGCTTGAGATTTCATAAGATTTAAGCTGGAAATACCAAAATCTTATGAGATTTGGCAAACTTAATGATATTTCACCTATTATTTTTTATTTTTTTATTTTTAATTTGATTTATATGCTGCCCTTCTCTGGAGACTCAGGGAGGCTTACAATGCGTTAAGCAATAGCCTTCACACTTTTGTATATTTATACAAAGTCAGCTTATTGCCCCCACAAACTGGGTCCTCAATTTACCCACCTTAGAAAGGATGGAAGGCTGAGTCAACCTTGAGCCTGGTGAGAATTGAACTTGCAGTAATTGCAGGCAGCTGGATGTTAAATGCTGCCTTAATAGGAGGCATTAGCCTCCTACGCCACTCAGGCTATTAATATTATTAAAGAAATTTTGGAACCTTGTGACTGTTACCAGTGGGATTCATGTGTGTATTTGGTTCCTGCCTATACTAGGTTACTGATCTTGAGTGTATGTGTTAACCCTCAAAAACGTATGATAATGTTATAGTGGCCTATGCAATGATAAAAAATAAGAATGTCTGAATTTGTTTTCAGTTATTCCTGGTCTTAGGGATCATTCTGTACCTGCAATGACATATTCTTCCCCTTTGAGTGGGCCCTTGTGTTCATAACCACAGAGGCTTTCCATAGCCGGAGTGTAGAGAAAGCGGACATCTTGCATCTCTTCTGGGCCCTTGTATACCTGGAGAAAGAGAAAAACAGGAATGTATACAAGGATGGAGGAAAGAGGGAGAATTATTCAGACCAGGAAGGGACTACCATGAGGAAAAACGGAAAGTCAAGGCTGCTACTTGATGTGAGGTTTTCCTAGCCCTATCAGAAGACTTACATTGTACAGTATCAGCTATTCTAGGTTAGAGTTCAAATCACAGTTTCAGTATAAGTTGTTTGAACCAATAGTTATCAACCAGTTTCTCATTTTCTTAAAGTATGTGAAGACTAAAGGCATGCTTGAGTAACTTTAATTGGATACCACCATTTTTTTTAGACTTAAGCAATTATGGAGGAATGAGATAGCAATACAATAATCAGAATCCATGAAATTTATAATGAAAATCGAGGAGTTTCAGATAAAGATATTCAGTGAATTTTGTTTCATATTATTTTACAAAAATATTTGTGTCTTTGAACTTTTGGACAAGGCATTATAAAAAGCATCTTCTGTTTGGGGGAAGCTATTAATGGGTCTCTTGGTTTCTTTCAACCATGGAAACTCATGTGGTAATTTTAGACCAGTCACAATCTGTCAGAGTAGGTTACTTCACAGTCTTGTAGTGAGATTGCAGAAAGAAAAGGAAATACTTATCAAATACCATAATTAAGAGGAAGTGCTTACCTTGGTTGTTTTAATTTCATGGCGTATCCACCACACAGGTTCTCCCACAGAAACGTTCACATGCTGCTTGCTGACACTCACAAATTTGCCTCTGATCACTACAAAAAAGAGATGGCAGGTAACATCTTATTTTCCTCGATTCTATCGTTAACTATTAGTTATTTCTTTGGTTTTAGCTGAAGGATTGTTTGTGAGCCTTTACATTCCTCAGATACAACTCCTGGCTCCATTTAGTCATCTTGAAAGCCTTAAAGTTCAATTTCTGCCTGATATCCCTGAATCCTGATATAAAATGATACACAATGGCTGGGTAGGGTCAGTGGTTTTCCTCCAGCTTTTTATTTTGGGTAATTTTGAAATGATTGTAGAGAGCAGGCAAGGGTCTCTTATTAAGAAATCTTTGGATTTTTTTCAGGATTTAGAGGTATCCACTACACAGATTCTCATACAGTGAATCTGGAGTTACATTATTAGCTTTTTTTTTTTAATCATTGAGAATTATTCTGTGACCATAAAGTTGTTCTCAGAAAGGATGGGAAAGGCGTCTCTGTCTTTTTTCCTCACCACCTCCCCAAAATAAGGTTTTGAGTACTATATCCTAAATTTGTGTGGAGATGGTATATGACCCTGAAGGATTTGATTTCAGAATGAAAAGCCAATCTGAACTCTTCCCTGCAGACCACTCAAAGAGCTAGTACACAAATACCACTTCAGTAATTGGTAACAAAGGACATTAAATAGATGAAAACACGTTTACATGTATCTCAGCTCTAACAACACAGCCACAAACATCTTTTCCACAACAGTATCTTTCAGTTAAGTTAATTTGAACTTTCAGTTATCTGTTGTTGAGTGTATAGTAATAAAGCCATGGGCGAATTGTCATCAGTCCAAAGAAAATTACAGGAAAGGAGAAGTAATCTATCTATCCCTCAACCCATGCCTTTCCCGAAGTTCCTTTCTGTGAAATTTTCTATCTAGTTCTACAAGAATGTGGAGGAGCAAAATTGTGGGTTTCCTTTCTTTCTCTTCTCTCAACTCCTCTAAACTGTGGCTCACTATGTTTATGTGTGTTATGCTAACTACACTGTGTTGTGAATTCAGAATCAGAAAACCATTAACTGGTATAGTGCTATATTGTTAGTTTATGTTTGGGAGGAAGCAGAGCTCAGGTATAAAATACCTGCTTGGTATGCAGAAGATCCCAGGTTTAAGATTCAGTTATCTCTAGTTAAAAGAATCAGATGGCAGGTAATGGGACTGACCTGAAGAATATAAAGTTATATTTGAACATCATGCTAAGCTGTAGCAAATGTTTGTTATAATTGCAAACTGAATAAATTCATTCCCATATATTGTTTTCCTCCCATTTCTACCACTTGGCAACATATGTTACTCTTACTTGTTTAGTTGTAAGGATGTCAAAAGGCTACTGTTTCAGGACATCTGTGAACCTGTGTTTTGTTTTAGAGTAGCTTTACCCATATGAAACCGTGCTTTGATATTGATATGCCTTTCCTAAATGACTAATTCTTAGCTGCAATGGGACACTACTTGAGGGCATACACACAATATTTTTCTAATGACAAAACATGTGTGAGTGTAGCCAGAACTGGTCAGAATAATTAGTATGGGGATCTAGTCTGACTCTGATCTGTAGTAAAACTATACATTTGTGTTATAATTTAATATCAGTTTGTTCTAATTTATTATCAATGTGACCATCTGGAAGTTCACTGCATGATTCTGAATATCATCTCAGCTCCCCCATCAGAGTCATTGTCTGGATAAATTGGAGGAAGGAAAAACTATAGGTGTTGCTTTGAGTTTATGGAGGGAGGATATGAATTAAGAGACAGATATACAAAGAACCAGATATCACCTATCCTTGTGCTAAAGGCATTAAAACAGACTGAGTAGGTATTTCACCAGAGGTGAATCTTTATACTTGTTCTTTTTCCATCTATTTCTCTTATTCTTGCCTGAATGTTATATAAAACCCAGGCATTTTGCAAACAATGAAAACAAAATTGAAAAATCTCAAAAGTTTTAAAAAATGGAGCCAAAACAATTGAATAGAAAATATTTTGTGCATTAGAATTGGACATACAGATTAAATTTATTCATTTGCTTAACTTGTTTAAATTGAAGGTATTGAATTTTCTACTAAGAGATATTGCAATAATTAACTTCCAGGAATATGTGGATTGATTCCTTTGAATAAAGGAAAGGCAGCATAGATTGTATTTAAGAGCACCCTATAGGAGCAGTTCTAAACATCTGTGATTTGTATGTGCATAGTACTTAATAAGATTTGAAAAGGAATAAATTCCTATATTTAAAAAATTCCTATATTTAAATATTTCCACAAACATGCAAGATGGATAAAACCTCAGCATTCCCTGATACACAAACAACTTTCCATTTAGACTGCCAATTTATTTAGCAAGGTTGCGAGTCGTTTCCTCTGCCTTTAACAGCTGCCTGATCTGTATATCTCAGCAAAAGAAAGTTTTCTGGTATACATTAAATTTTGGGGTGGGGAGTGGGGGGAATAGCATAATATCTATACTAGACTGCTATGGAAAATTACAGAAATTCTGCCAGAAAGGGAGGGGGGCGGGAAACTGGCAATGTTATTTCAGTTGTAATAGGCTGAGGAGTTGATGGGTAAGAAATCTTCTCAGCCTTTATTCTTTGGTAGTATTCCAGAATAATAAATTTATAGCGGTTCTAAAAGTCCTTCAACCTCCCCTTCCTATAAATGTGAACATTATGGCTACAAATCATGATCATTATGTATTATTTCCAGGACCAGTGATAGCATGTTTTTCAGTGCCAGTTGCTGGGAAACAAGCTTAGAGATGCTTGTGGGTTTTTGGAGGCATCTAGTTAAATACTATAAGACTCAAAATGCTGGTTTTAATAGATGGTGGCAGACAGGTAGTTTATCCAGCAGAGTTCCTGTTCTGTCTTTCATTTGCTAGAAATCACAAGTGTTTTGGGTAAGAGGAAGGAGATGAGACATCAGTTTTGCCAATTGCAATCTCATCTGTTGTTTTTTTTCCCCACTTGATACTATTTACAACTTTTATTTTTTACAACTTTATTCACCCCAGGAGCTATGAGGGGTCACCAAGTCCAACCCTTTGTTGATGCAGAAAATAACTACTTGTCTGATAGGTAGTCATTTAGACCAGGGGTCTCCAACCTTGGCAACGTTAAGCCTGGAGGACTTCAACTCCCAGATTCAGGCTTAACGTTGCCAAGGTTGTAGATCCCTGATTTAGACACCGGGGGGGGAAAAAATGAGAGTGGAAGAGTTTGCTACTTTCCAAGGGAAACTGTTCCACGATCAAGCAGTTTATGCCACAAGCTCCCTAGGAAGTTATTACTAATGATTAGTTAGCATAGCTTCTCTTGTAATGTGAAAACATCAATTTAATCTACTGTGCCCTTCAGGGTGGCTGAAGATTAAAGAACCTAATTATTGAGAAAATATTTCCTTAATTGGAATCGCACACACACAAATGACTTTACAAACTTGTAAGTATATAGCAGATCATAGAAATTTATGAGAGAGGGATAGACAGCAGATTGATGGCCTATAGCAGAAAGGATAACTTGAGAGAATGGGATAAGACACGGGAGAGAGAACGATTGAATTTTTATTACTGGGTCTATGATCCAGGCACTCACCCATATCAGCATTGCAATAGGCAGACTGAGGATGTCTAGGAGCACAGGAACAGGCTGCTGTTGGATCTGCCTTCAGGCTGAGGAGGAAAACGCCGACCACAAGGAATCTGCACATTTTAGAATCCATTTTGCAGGGAGGAGGCGAGGAGAGAAGTCACTCAGACGCAGCCTGTGAGACAGAGACAAAGTGTTATTCCAGGAGAAGCGGCAGGAAATGAAGGGGTGTGAAAAGAAACATCGACTATGAAGTACCAGTAGAAACTCCTAAACTTGGGCAACTGTTGGTTTCCCTCTTTACAATACAGCTGGGGACAAAGAGGGGAATTCCTTACTGCCTGGATGAACACAGCTCTTTGTCTTTTGTGGCATGGGCTGGGCAGGCAGGGCAGGATCTAAATTGAGGGTTAGATGATTGAAGGAGTGAGCCCAGTGTGAGGAAAGACTCTGGTTTCATTTTGCTCAATTCATTTACGGTGGCCTCTTCATACAGGAAACACCCTCCACCACCACCCGGCACAGCCTGGGATATTTACTTGAAAGAAGAAAGCCTTAGCAGAGCTCGGGGTGATAACCTGGCCGAGCAATCATTTCTAACTTCAGAGGTTCCTGGGTGTCACAGAAAAAAATGGGTAAAGGAGAGGGTGCTGAGTCTAAAAGAAGAGGAAAGTCTTCCTGGAAATGCTCAGAGTTTTACCACAGAAATCAGCTGAAATTTCAAAAAGTGGGGAGGTTACAGAGGGATCCCCTTGAGATGGGAAAGAGAATCTAGGGGAGGATTTGGTGTGCTGCAAAAGAAGGGCCCTTCCCCTCACCTTTCTCTCTGTTGCAGTCTAGGCGTCTCCTGTCACTTCAAGGCTGCAGCTCCCAGCCCATCGGATTGGTATTTAAAGCTCACCCCGCTTCCCCCATGACTCCCCCTGCTTTTCCTGTCCTATCTGCCAAGGAGGCGTGACTGATCCAGACTGCGGTTTTTAGCAGAGAGCCAACCATGCCAGGGTGGGGTGATCAGTGCCTTTAGAGAAGGGGAGGAAGGAGCAGCATTAGCAACTTCTGAGGGAAGAATTTGTCAGGAAGTTTTGGATTACTCAACTGAAAAAGAGAGAGGGTGATGATGGCTTAGAAGGCTGTCTTTGAAGGGGAGGCAGGCAGGTGAAAATTCAAAGGGTGTCCAGAGGGTGGCACTATAGAACTGGTTCCCCCCCCAGAATGTCGGCCTTATTAAAGTACTGTAGATGGTTTAGGACTCCAGCATGTTATTTCGCACTTGTTACTTGACTTCCCTTGCCCGTTTTCTGCCTGTTGTCTCTTTTTTGATAGCTGCATCCATGTAGTCAAACGGGGCATAGTCTGTCAGTGAGAGATTAATAAACCAGTCTATGATTTGAAGGAAGGACAAGCTTTTCAGACAAAATGAACATACTGAAGTTATGGTATACAACATGAACTGGACGGGACTGAAGAAATAATAACTTAGTAGAAGAATGGAATGGAATGGAATGGAATGGAATGGAATAGAATGGAATAGAATAGAATAGAATAGAATAGAATAGAATAGAATAGAATAGAATAGAATAGAATAGGCAAATTATGCAACCTTACGAGGGTTCTGAATTTTCCATTTGTTAAATCATATAAAACTTACACCTTCTATCAATGGTGGATTGTTTTAGTGAAAATATCATCTCACTAGCTAAACTGGAGATTCTCAGTCAACCAGGTCATGGTTGTCCCAGAGGTACTTTTTCAAGAGGCAACTGGACTTTCTTGTTTTTCTTTGAAGATGTTTTGCTTCTCATCCAAGAAGTTTCTTCAGCTCTGACTGAAGCTCCATTCCCCACTATCCAGTCAGAGCTGAAGAAGCTTCTTGGATGAGAAGCAAAATGTCTTCAAAGAAAAACAAGGAAGCCCAGTCGCCTCTTGAAAAAGCACCTCTGGGATCACCAGTTAAACCTTTTCCTTCATGACAAGTTCTTTCCTCCTCTGTATCATACCTCTGTGTTTCTCATTACAGGTAGCTCTTGACTTATCAAACATAATGGAGCTGCCCAATTATGGTCATAAGTCATGACGTCATAAAATGGGTCGCTCATATGACCAGCCAACCTTTTTTTTGCAGCAGTAGCTAAGTGAACCAATTGTTTGTTTTGCTGAAAATGGGAAGTAAAAGCTGGCTTTCAGCAAAAATGGTCACTATGTAATGCTGCAAAAAGCTGTAAATGCACCAATAAGGTAACTCTGAGCAGTTATAAACAGTCAAAAGATAAACATAAAACCAATTAAACTTTTAAAGAGGTATATATATGAAAAAGTAGAACCAAGGAGACGGACAACATGTGGGTGAATGGCCCCCTTGAACCCCCAAACCAAGTGGCAAAACCAGATTTTCATACCCTTCTAAAAGACCAAAAGGATGGGACCAAAAGAATTCCAGTGGTCAAATATTCCATGGAAAAGGATCTCCTTGAGCCCACCAGCCAGAGTTCCTTAGCAAATGGAGTCCAGGATAGGCTCCTTCTGCTGGAGCGAATGGGGCGGACTAGTCCCACTGGACAAGACAGCTCCTCAGATATCTCAGATATTCAAGGAGAGAAGCAAGCTAGAACTAAGAAGAAATTTCCTGACAATTAGAACAATTAATCAGTGGAACGACTTGTCTTCAGAAGTTGTGGGTGCTCCAACACTGGAGGTTTTTAAGAAGAGATTGGGCAACCATTTGTCTGAAATGGCATGTGGTTTCCTGCTTAAGCAAAGGGTTAGACTAGAAGACCTCCAAGGTCCCTTCCATCCTGTTATTTTAATATCCTTTTTTGCTGTCTTGGTGTCAATGTGTATCGCTCCTGAACTGCAATGATAAACCATTTGTGAACAGTTTTTCCAAAATGTTAAGCACTTAGATTTGAAAGAGTTTTAGATTAAGAAAAAAGAATTTGAAAAATGAAAAACATCGATGTTACATTTTTGCTGACTTTATATAATTTTTACGGCAGAGTTAATCTTCAGAAATACTTAATACTTAATACTTAATCTGTTTTTACTGTCTTTTTCTTGGTTGTCTATTTAAAGTATCTCTCCTCGTATCTCTCCTCGTGGTATTGTACTTGGGTATCTTTCTTTCTTTCTTTCTTTCTTTCTTTCTTTCTTTCTTTCTTTCTAGTTTAACACTGTAATGGAAAAATGAGCAATACTAATAAAATTAATACAATGTTCTGAACATTTTAGGAGATTTGACTGACTACTCCCATAACATTGAATATTATTTCATTTATTAATATAGAAAAATATCCTACACATTAATCTATATTGTCTATAAGTTAATTTACTGTCTATCAAGCTACACTGTTTCCTGTGTCCTTGTTTACTTTCCTTTGGGGAGGTGGGGTGTTGGCCACTCTCCTGGCCATGTTTTTTTTAAAAGTGTTTTCAATAGCACATCACAAACAGTTGAATGGAGGTCACAAATGAAAAAAAAAAGATTGTCCATCCTGTCATTATGATCTGCCAGGGAGTTTGAGAAATCTTTTTTTACTGCTTGCCTGGTGGGCTTCTGGTTCAGTGGATTGGAAACCTAAACAAATGCCTTGTAACAAATAAGAGGGGGGGGGGGTTGATTTGGACAATTTTAGTTATTTGTAAGACTTTGGGAATCCTCTTTGCCTCAGAAGATGGCACAAGAGTATGTACCCTTGAAGCTACTTCCTTTTTTAGTTGCTCCTACGTACAGTTTGTGGGGCATGGTGAGTGCAACTAAGTGTCAGAACATAACTATTACAATTGTCTTCTACTGAATGACTCAGAAAAAGAGGTTCTAGATCCTTTCTTCACAACTGATTAGTAAAAGTCAGCACATGTCTTGCTGCAAAAGCAAAAATCCTGAATGTCATCCAGACAGATGATAGTCAACACATGGCTACTTCTGCGTAAACAATAATCCTGGATGTCACTCATCCAGACTAATAGTCAGCACACAGCCAATTCTGCAGAAGCAAAAATGGCTAATGATGCTTTGTTTATATTGATAAGGATTACCCCAAACATTAATGTACTCCTTGTTCTGTTCCTTCTGTGAGTTGAGATGGCCAGACAAAGCTCCAAATTTGAATTTATAAGGAATCGTGTTGAGGGCCAGGCATCTCACCCAGCATAAAATTACCAAAAAAGAAAAAAAAAATTAGTGCTTGTTTATTTATTTAAAACAATTGGGGTGTGCTTTTGCAAAATCACCTGATCTGAAACACAGGATACAATGTAAGACCAGGGCTGTCTCGAGTAGCAAGGTCAGGATTTTCTGGTTATTGTTATCTTGGTGTTTACTTCATTTTTAAAACTATGTAAAACCTATTTTAGGATTTATACTCTATTTTTTATTATTTTCTGAATGAAATTGTCACCACTTTTTAGCAACTATAATAAAAGGCACTACAGGGGTTATAGAAATGGGTACAAATATGGCCCTAGGGCTTAAGTTGTGGTATCTCTGATATAAAGGATAGTGCTACTTTTTCTTACCATTTCATGAAAGCCTCCTTTCTCAGCCTTATTCTAAATTCTACTGTATGTAAGTGGTTATGGATTCAGTTGAGTATATGGGATACTATGTTGCTATGTCAGAATAACAGAGTTGGGAGGGACCTTGGAGGTCTTTTAGTCCAGCCCCCTGCTCAGAAAACCTGCTGTCCCACTGCTCAGGAAACCCTATACCATTTCAGACAAATGGTTATCCAACATCTTCTTAAAAACTTCCAGTGTTGGAGCACCCACAACTTTTGGAGGCAAGTTATTCCACTGATTAATTGTTCTAACTGTCAGGAAATTTCTCCTTAATTCTAGGTTGTTTCTCTCCTTGATTAGTTTCCACCCGTTGCTTCTTGTCCTGCCCTCAGGTGCTTTGGAGAATAGCTTGACTCCCTCTTCTTTGTGGCAAACCCTGAGATATTGGAACACTGCTTTCACGTCACCCCTAGTCCTTCTTTTCATTAAACTGGACATACCCAGGTTCCAGCAACCGTTCTTTATATGTTTTAGCCTCCAGTCCACTAATCATCTTTGTTGCTCTTCTCTGTACTCTCTCTAGAGTCTCAACATCTTTTTTACATCGTGGCGATCAAAACTGGATGCAGTATTCCAAGTGTGGCCTTACCAAGGCATTATGAAGTGGTATTAATACTTCAGGTGATCTTGATTCTATCCCTCTGTTAATGCAGCCCAGAACTGTGTTGACTTTTTTGGCAGCTGCAGCACACTGCTGGCTCATATTTAAGTGATTGTCCAGTAGGACACCAACATCCCTCTCACAGTTACTACTATTGAGCCAGGTACCAACTCTACCTGTGCATTTGTTTTTTCTTGCCTAAATGTAAAATCTTACATTTTTCAGCACTGAATTTCATTTTGTTAAATAGCATCCAATGTTCAAGTCTGTCAAGATCCTACTGTATCTTAAGTCTATTTTCTGGAGTGTTGGCTATTCCTGCCAACTTGGTATCGTCTCCAAATTTGGTGAATTCCCTATCTATCCCCTCACCGAAATAATTGATGAAGATGTTGAAGAGTACTGGGTCTAAGACAGAGCCTTGGGGTATCCCACTGCAAACTTCCCTCCATGTAGATGCAGTTACATTGAAAGCTATACATTGGGTGCGGTTGGTCAGCCAGTTATGAATCCATTTGGTGGGTAATGTTGTCTAACCCACATTTTCTATCTTATCAAGTAATAAGTTGTTTGATACTTTATCAAATGACTTACTGACTTAAAATACTTTATCAAATGACTTACTGAAATCCATATAAATTATATCCATAGCATTCCTCTGGTCCACTAATGTTGTCACTTTGTCAATGGCACATATCCTTGTTGCTGTGTACACTCTGTTTTCTAGTAAAGATACTGCATATCTTCTGAAACATTATTTGAATATTTCTAATCAAGAATGCTAGCT